GGCCCACAGGGGCCCACTGTTGTCTCAGGAAGGGGTGAGGCACAGCCCAGAGGAAGGGCAGGAGGAAGGGAGGGGACTGCTGGGCAGAGATGGGGGTCTCGGTGAGGAGCGCAGAGACCAAGCTTCGGGTGGGTGGGTGCCACCCCAGGGTGCCCTGCCTCTCAGAAACCTTGTGACTGGTAGTGAGGAGGAACCACCGAGCAGAGCCAGTGAATCCTCTATGTCCAGGAACATCCTGCTGAAACAGCCCTTCTGTCCCACCATGGGCAGCAAAGCCCTGCAAGCCACAGATAGACCTGAGCTCCAATTGCTCTTCGTCCACTTGACCTGCCAGGCACCTGACCCCCTGCATCCCGGTGTCCTGACCCACAGCGTGAACAGGGACACCAGCCTCCCGAGAGTGAAAGAATTCAAAGTGCACACACATCCCTATCATGGGCACAGCATGGAGGAAGGGCCTGTGCTCATAAATGTTTATATGTCTTCCCGAGGAGGGCTCTGGAAGGCTTCCCTACTCTGGGAATGATCTATACTGGCCCCCTGAGATCTTTTGACATCCATCAAATCAAGAAACCGATCCCCAGCCCAAACTACTTAGTGTCCTAATAGGCAGCTGGACATCAGGTGAAGGAATGGGGTAGCCAGAAAGGAGAAGCAGACAGACAGCTTGGAGGAGGGGCAAGGCTGGGGACAGGGTCAAAACGCCCAGCCAACCAAGAGCCCAGCCAACCAAGAGCCCAGCCAGCCAAGAGCCCAGCCAACTTTGAGACAGGGCCTGACCTGCCCCAAAGGCATTTTCTCCTCTGAATTCTCCAGCCCAGGCCGCCTGGGGAATGTAAAGAATCCTCTCTCCACTCCCTGCCTCCTCATCCCGTCTGAAGCCTTCTAAGTGCTGAGTTTTTCCCTCTCAAAACAGCAGTAGCATGACATAGGAATGCACCATTAGGTCCCCACTGGCCCCCTCTCCACCTGCACGCCTGTCAAGCTGATCGATGAGTGGAAAAGATGACAATCACGACCACCCCCACCACTTCTGGGACCGGCAGGCCTCCCTTCCACGATGGAAGAAGTCTGGGCAACAGAGGCACCACAGCCAGCATCAGCCTCAGAGGAGGCAACTGAGGCATGGGGGACAGGCTGGAAAATGAGGCAGGCGCACAGCTGCTACAGTGAGGCCACAGTGAGCTCTCCTGATCAAAGCTGCGTTGCATGGGGGCAGCGACCACCAGTCCCAAGCACAACTGCAGCTCATTCTGTGGAGGTGGAACGGTCATGGGCTGGCCAAGAGAAAGGAACCCATACGGAGGTGCAAAAGTTGGGTGAGAAACCAAAAATCCCTGTGATTCTTAATTCTGCCCATGGCCGTGACCTTGGGTCAGGCTTACCCTTGTGTAGGTAGGTTTGTCAGAGGATGGAGAAGTCAGAGCTGGGCACTCTGCTGGCATCCGTTAAATGCCTATTGAACTGAATAGCTGAAGGAGGGCATGAGGTTACATCTACCCAACATGTGTACAAATATGGGTTAAATGAATGGGGAAAATGACTGGAGTGACTTGGTGGCTATAGCTTTTGTCCTAAGTGAGATTTGCCACCAAACATAGCTGTCCACTCACTGAGCTGTTTTTCGAGCACAGAAGTGGCATATGCTCAACTCTGGGCCTGCGGCATAATGTCTGACATAAACAGGGTACACAATAAATGTCTACTGGAAAAAAAAAATCAATGAATGATTTCAGAGACAGAAAATAGATGGTGGCTGCCACGGGCTAGCGAGAGTCGGGGGAAGTCATTCTCTAGTGGGAACAGAGTTTCAGTTTTGTGAGATGAGTTCTGGAGGTGTGGATTAATCATTCCACGATGTGTACACATATCAAAACATCTTGTTATACATCATAAATATATATAATTTTTCATTTGTCAATTAAAAATAATAATTTTAGAAAAGAGTTCTCAAGATGGATGATGATGTTTGCACAGAAATGTGAACGTACTTAATGCCACCAGACTATACACTTAAACATGATTAAGATGGGAAATTTTATGTTGTGTGTATTTTGCCACAATTAAAAATAAAACTTAAAAAAATCGATGAGTGATTAACTAAAAATGGAAAGAAATAACCAAGGTTAAGCATGGAATGAATGACATAGCTACTAGGGCATGGAATCTTAGATTTAAAATGGGTGCAAACTCACCGCAGCTCTTCTATCAAGAGGTGCAATCTCTTCCCTCACACATTGAATCTGGCCTGGCTTGTGCCTTGATTTGACCAGCAGAACAGAGCAGAAGTGATACTATGCAATTGCCCAGCCTAAGCTTCAAAAAGAGTCCTCGTACACTTCTGTTCCTGCACACGAATCTCTCCACCTCTGTGTGAAGAAGTCCAGGCTGGCTGCTGGAGACATGTGGCCCAGCTAACACCCAGCACCAACCAGACACATGAGCAAGGTTCTCAGAGCATCGAGTTCCCATCAGGAGATCAGATGACACATGAGTGATCCCAGGCAAGGCCGACAGAAGAACACTCCAGCTGAGCCCTGCTCCAACCACTGACCCACACAATCATCAACACATAAAATGCTGCTTCAAGCCATTAAGTTTGTTATGCATCTATAGAGAACTGATAGAGTTAGGAAGGCATCAATTGAGAGGTAACAAGAAATGGGGTCCAAGTCTCCCTCCATTCCTGCAACTGGAGATTGAGGGGTCCTACCTTCACTAAAGCCACTTCCTGTTTGTGGCTCTCCAATGAGGATCTTATAAGCCTTGAAGTCTTAAGAAGAGTTTGGCAAATCTCTTCAAGCAGGGTGGCAGGGCACTCCAGGGTTAAGACTAAAGAGGAATGAGTGATGGGCTTCTAAAACTCGGCACTGCCTAGTGAAGAAGGAGGAAGGGACAGCTCCCTTGCTCTCCGAGATACCCTCTATTTTGCCCCTAGACATTTCTAATAGCAAACTATAGTAAGTCTGACCTCAAGAGATCAAACAGGAAGGTGAGGACACAGAGTGAGCCCAACAGTTTGTGAAACAAACTGGAACTCTCATCTAACAGGAACATGAAATGAAACTGCAAACTCTGAGCAATGAAGACTACACTTTACTAAAAGCATGCAAGTTATGATGGGTGACACATGTTAACCGGATTTTAGCAAGCTTCCTCAATTTACACTGGTTCCTAAGGGACCAGATATGCTGGCATCTGTGGACAATGAGTCTCTCAGCACAAGTGTGATCCAAGTGGACTGTACTTGCTCTTTCTGTTCTCGAGAACTTCTCCGGGCACCTGTTTCCCACTCTGGCCCCAGCAGCTGTGTCTGTATCAGTGGCCACTTCAGGAGCTGCACTACCTTGTCCCAGAATGTCTTCTATGCCAAGTTAATAAAAGATGAAATGTCCTGTCCCACAAATAGCTGATTCGGGAACATTTAACAAGGTAAATTCTTAAGAGAATAGATATTCTTATGGGGAACATGATGAGCTTAGGTCTTAGGACACTTTAACTATTTTTTACTTTCCTCTGCCTTTATCACTGTGATATCATCAACTACAGACCCAGTCCAGGAAAATCTGCACTGCTTTCTGGGCCACCACACCCAAGGTTGCTCATTTCCAACACACAGAGAATCTATCTGGCTATTACCACTAGATATCATCTATAGGATTAGTGTTTCTCACAATTACCCATTTTGGGAGCCCATAGAAAAGGAATATTGAGGGCCCCGGCTGAGAATCCATGTAATGATGCACTTTTTACCCACCTATGACTTCCTTTGCAATGTCAGTAGACACAGGATCCAGTGTTGGATTTAGGAGCTATTCCAATTGCAGGTGGCTCCTTAACATCTTGTGCTCTCTCCCAAGACAATGTTGGTCACCCCTGCAACCAGTACCCAGATCCCTAGGGAGACTAAATTAATGCCATGTCTTTCTCAAAATCACCTCTTAACTCTAACAATCATCTCAACTGTCCCATGCTCCCATGCCCTGAGGCCAGCTCGCTTCACTCAGGGCAATTGGCAATAGGTTACTAAATACTGTCTGTGTACCAAGAACAGTGCCAGCGGTCCTTGTCCATCTGAACCCTTGGGCAACATCTCATTTTAAGACACAGTCGCTTACATAAGGGCCTCTCAGGGTCCTTCACTCGGGCCCACCCTGCTCATAGGCCTCCTGCTGGGATGAGGGCTCTGATCAGCAACGATGTGGACAAGTGAAAAACCACAAAACCAGTGCCTTGAAGTTTCAGTATTTAAAAACCCTGATCTGCCCAGGAGTCCAAGCCCTATTCCAGGCTCACCACTGTCTCTGTCTGTAACACACTCTCATGATGTAAAGAATCCTCCAACACACACCACCAAATTGTTCTAGAATTCAGAAAATCTTGGTCTTTTATTTCTGTTCCTTGGGTTAAAGACACCTGCCTTTTAGTCATTTTGCTTATGAATGTACTTCTACTGGGGCAACTTAGGAGAGGGGAAAATGAATTAACATCAGTGAAGCTTGATGCTTTTAAGCAGCTCTGGCAATGATGATGATAATGATGAAGAAGAATGGCTGGGAGACAGAATAGTGATCCAAGTTGGGATGAATTAGCTAAATGCATGTCTATGTCTGTCAACCGGCTCGTCGCCTCCCATTTGCTCAAAACTTTGTCTTATGGGCATCTCTCACCAAGGTGCTAAGTGCTGGGGACTAGAGGCATAAGCAGAGAAAGGGCCCCCAAGAGGGCTGGCCCCCTTAATCAATGGGCATCATGGGGCCTCACTGGACCCTGGCTAAAGCACTACTACTTTGAACTCTATCACCAAACCACACACAATAGTTTCCTAGTTCCTCACCATGCTCCTCCCATCCCCTCCTTTTCTACCAACAATGGGCACATCCCCTGCAGCCTGGCAGTCAGGGGGCTGTCTTCTGAGTCCATCAAATGTTGAAAGAAAAATACACAATTATTCAATTATTTTTAAAGGAACAAATAGATCTAAATTTAATCCAACTTACCCTTGTTTCCCAGGAGAAAGGGGCAGAGTGCTCATCTTGCCAAGTTAGATCCTGAAATAAAAATTCAAGAATAAATCTGAAATCCAAACCTAGACATATCCCATGCAAACATCCACCCAGGACCATGAGGGAACCAAAACTTAGGAATAATCCCAACTGCTGGCTCTAAACGAGCCTGATGCTTTGACACTCTCAATATAACGTGCTGACCATCTTGGCCAGATTGCTCCCTCACCTTTCCCGCTGAGGCTGCCAGACACTCCCCTCCCCAGCCAAACAGACAACAGGGTATATGCCGGTGAGTCCCCCCAATGGACTCAGACAGATGAGCTGAGTAGGAGTGGACCAGGCCTTGATGGTCTCAGCAGAATCAGGCACAGACTCAGCCCTGAACAATGATTAGCTGTGTGGCTATGGGAAGATGATTTAGCCTTTTTGAGCCTCAGTTTTCTCATTTGTAAAAGTAGAATGATACTTCCCTTGCAGGGCTGTTATAAGGATTAAATGAGGTAATCTGGGAAAATAATGCCAGGCCATAATCTGCCAGTCAATGCCAACACAGGAGCTCCCCTCCTCCCCAACAGGCCTACTGGAGAGCTCAAGGGCATGGATCAGCAGAATCAATGAAGAAAAACGCCAATGTAATCCATGTGACTAATTATAACAAGAACTCTGAAATCACACCCCACCCCCACCAAACAGAACAGGACAGAAAGAGCCCTACAGAACAATCACTAGGAATTTGACCTTGGATCCAGTATGTTTTGTTCACTGGCCTGCACAAATAACTTGGAGAAGTCACCTTTCCTTAGGTCCCACCCTCTGCCTGCAGTTATTCCTGTGCTAGCAAATGTCTCATCTGTGTCCAGCTTCAATTGGGTAACTTTTGTTTGTTTGTTTGTTTGTTTGTTCTAAAAGATGGGGTCTCAGTATGTTGGCCAGGCTGGACGCAAACTCCTGGGCTCAAGCGATGCTCCTGCCTTGGTGTCCAGAGCAGCTGGGACTACAGGTGTGCACCAGGTCTGACTGCTTCTACTGGGAACTATTTTCAGGATGAAAAATCAGGACACACTGGGTGATACAGGCGAAAATGGGATAAAATATTTTAAACTGAGATCATATCCACATCTCCCCAAAACTCCAAGTGATTTATAGCCTTCCCTAAGTATCCCTGGATAACTGTTTTCTTCCCACCCAGAGATACACTGACACTGTGTCCCTAAGTCAAGTGGTCTGGCTTCCCTCTCATCTACAGGGCAAACCAGTTCTGCCCACAGACCCTCTTCTTTCAGCTTCTGACAGAGCCTCTGCCACCCCAGCTTAGCCTCAGACACTGGGGGCAAATGCCAGGGCCCACGCAGGGGGAGTGCCTCACCAACATATAAGTGTACACGTTCAGCCTTCCAGACCCTGAGCGTGCGTTCTCTCTGCAGACACCTCCTAACATGAACGGCCAGTGGGAGGCCAGTCTTTGAACTCGAATAACGAAGGCATGCCAGGGTCTGGGCAGCTGAAGGCCTATTCCCAAGAAGGAGGGATGGGGAAGGAAGTGTGTGATGACTCTCCAGCACAGCCCAAGCACGGCCAACCCTAGATGACAAGGGTGACAGAGCAGGGCCTTTGTCTACTCCTCTATCCCCAGTGCCTGGAAGACTCAGTGACTGCCCGTAGCGGACGCTCACTCACTCTTTGAGAATATGTGAATAAACAAACTCTGCACAAGCCCAGATCCTTTCACAGGTTGATTTTCCCCCACAATCTCCGCCTCCCAACACTCACACTCCCGCAAGACTTCCCAATGTGGGGCCACAGGCTCCTTACAGCTCTTGGCCCCAGGAGGAAGAGCTGGCCATCGACAGGGTAGAGATCCGGTTCTGTGTCCTGATGGCTGTGCTGTGTGCCTTGGTTCTGTGCAGTAGGGACTGGCACATTTGTGGCACAAATACTTCACATATACTGGGGGTAAAGAGCAAGGAAAACCCAGAGAGGAGGCAGTGTGAAAGGCCAGAATTAGGTCTTTATTTTCCCAGGAGTGTATATAAAAGGACTAAACATATTTATATCAGGAAAAAAACACCACTAACAAAGATACTAGTTATAAATATTAAGAATTACAAAAGTGGGGGGAAAGCCCTACAAACTGGGTCAAGCTGCATTAAAGTGTATCAGTCAGTTCTGAGAACCACGTAGTGTGTGCAACTGATGACCATGTGCACAGTAAGGTGACCCCCATCCTCAAAGTGTTACAGTCATTCTCCTGTAATGGTATTTGCTTATGATCCTGACTTCTGAACTGGTTGGTATGCACTGCCTCATGGCCGTCAAGCAAAACCTTTAAAAATGAGAGGAACCTCATTTTGTTTGGAATTTCAGTTACACTCAAGTTACTTCCCAATGCACAAACTTCGTTCCTCCAAAAATGGAAATGGATGCCTGAAGGAATGTGAGTTACCAAGGCTTTGCGATTAGATGTCTCCTAGCAGAGGTAGAAGGCCAGCCTTCAGCTGTAGGGGGCTCCTGGTCCATGTCTCTGTGTGTATGCTAGGGGTACAGTTAAGCTAAATAACCAAAGTCCCTAAAATCCTCAGAACCCTCTGAGTTCCTTTTAGAAGTAATCACACCAAGAAGGGCTTTGTTTTCACGTGGGAAAAATAAAAGGGGCCGATGGAATAAGTATCATTTATTCTAGTTAATCATTCATTAACTCTTTGTGAATAAATGATCTCTGCACAAGCCTGTATATTTTCACAGGTTGATTTTCCTCCCCAGCCTCCACACCCCACACTCACATTCCCTCTAAGACTTCACCGGCTCTTCACAGCTCTTAGTCCCAGGAGGAATGGCCAGCCATCCACAGGGTAGAGTAGAGACCCGGCTTTGGATCTTTGGAAGAAGGTAAATGGAAATCAACTGGCAAAGGTACTCCTTCCATCCAGAATTGAACAGGCCGCTGGCCACCCAAATGGAAAGACGAAGTGTATGAACACCTGCAGGGCAGGCAGAGGGCAGGAACGCTGGCCAGGGCGGGGCATGATGTAGCTGGACTCCCCTGTTACTTGATATGATTCTAAATATTAATTATATACCTTGAGTCCCTTTGAAATCTGCAAAGATTAAAATAATAAGGCTTTTGGCTTTGGAAGGTGGCTCAGTATATAAGACTCTTAGGAACAAAGACTTAGCCCAGAGCTTGGGGACAGCCAACTCTCTAGTGACGGCAACCCATATTAGCTGAAATTCCAAGGGGGTCGCAGGAGGAGAAAGGGTCACACTGTGATTTCTCCCCAACTTAGTGTCGAGTCAATAGTCTTTTGTTTGCTCCAGCAAGAAATGAAGTCAAGGGGCAGATTCCTTGGGTTTCTGTAATTCTGAGCTCATAAAAAACAATAAAGTGCTTAACAAAAATAAACATGCCAAACAAAAATGTGATGGAAGCTCTGATGTCAGCCTTCAACTGCACGCTCTAGCCACAAAAAGCACTGGTGGCAAGAACAGGCTCCCTAGGCTGTTGGATGCAAATGGGATCAGAATTGCAAAGTGGTGGCACCCACTCACACGTATACAATGCTATCCTTTCTTCTACTCCCATGGTGACCAGCAGGCAACCAAAATGAGGCCAGGCACATGCTCTTGGACCAATCACATATGCTTTTTCTAGGACTGCCTGGAAGGCTTTCCCACCCCCCTCTCTGGCGCCTAGGATCTGAAATCATCTAAGTGCCAAAACACATCTGTTACTTAGGCCACACGACAAGAGAGTGGACTTCATTGTTGGCCAGGACTTATCCTCAGAGTCAAATTCCGTAAGAGGCATCCATACCAAAGGCAGCACTGAATCTCTCCAGAAACAATGTCTTCTTTGGAGTGCAGGGCAGAAAGATGCCTCGGATCACCAAATCCCAGAGGAGAAAGCCAAAAAGCAGAGGGGAAGCTATAGAAAGCCACCAGAAACACAGAGCACTTGGCAATTATCAGAGGCCAGCACTACATGTAAAAGGCTCTGCCAGTCCCCACGCAGCTCCAAGAACTCTGGGATAAACACACACACAATCTTTTCCCCTAACATCCCAGAGACCTTGAGTATTTGCTCTTCTCTGGGAAATGTTCATCCAATTCAGTGTGTACCTCCTAAACTCTAAATGAAACAGAATTTTAAAAATAATAATAATAAAGCATTTTTTTTTCCATAGTGCTGGAATACATGTTTGAATCGTATCGCCAGCATTTACTTCTTTATTTGTTGATAAAAAATGGATACTGGAGGGCTTAAGAACTCTGTGGTTCCTAGACACTTTTATTTTTGGAGGCTGCAAGGCTGCAAGCAGAGGTGTGTTGGAGCAGGCTTGCACCAACTAACGAGAGCTGATTGTAAAATTTTGAGGACTTTCTTGAACCTGTTGTTTAACTGCGTGATTAAAAAGGTGAATTATATAAACTTGAAATTAAATCCATTGTATTAAAAATAAAGGTGATATACTTCACACCACAAGGATGGCTACTATCAAAAAGCAGAAAATAGCAAACATTGGTGAGGATGTGGAGGCACTGGAACCCTTGTGCACTTTTGGTGGGAATGTAAATAAAGTAGCCATTATATAAAACACTTCGGCAGTTCCTCAAAAAATTACACATACAATTACCATTTGTTCCAGCAATTTCATTCCTAGGTATACACCCAAAAGAACTGGAAGCAGGGGCTCAGAGATCCTTATACCCCAATGTTTGTAACTGCGCCATTCACAATAACCAAAAGATGAAAGCAACCAGGTATCCGCTGACAGATGAATGCATAAACAAAATGTGGTTTATCCATACAATGGAATATTATTCAGTCTTAAAAAGGAAGGAAATTCTGATACAGGCTTCAACATGGATGAACCTTGAAGACATTATGCTTAGTGAACTAAGCCAGACACAAGGACAAAAAATCATATGATCCCACTTATATAAGGTACCTAGAGTAGGCAAAATCACAGAGACAGAAAGTAGAACAGAGGTTATCAGGGACTGAGGCCAGGAAATGGGGAGTTATTGTTTAATATATACAGAGT